GGCACACGAGCGGGGAGCAGGCAAGTCTCGTCCCACTTGTATAGCCTATTCTCAATGGCCAAACACTACCCAGCAACAACTTTGACTTCATCCTCTCCTAGAATGGCTCGAGCCACCACGACCTGACCAAAACCAACTGCTGGACTCACTCCAGTACACAACTGACTCAATTACCCGGCCATCTCTAGACCACTAACATGCAATGCACACACACATGTTAAGATAAACTTTAACATTTTTCCTCCTACTTTTGACGTGGTGGTTCACCAAAATTTTCATGGATGACGCCTTCATAGCGCCGAGCTCACTCCATCATGCCGTCCACGCCGTCCCAGTGCCAAACACACACACCTTGCCACAACATCGCATTACAACATTTGTTGGCTTCACACCAACTCTCCATGATGACGATGACATCGCACCAACCCAAGTGAGAGCATCGCACCGCCATATCTCTTCTTAACGGCATCTCACCGCCTCTCCTAGTAACGGCATTTCACTGTCATTGTGGCAGCATTACACCGCCGTCTCTTCATGTGGCATCGCACCGCAGCCACATATTCGTGCGGCATCACACCGCCAAACACCTCTGTGTCATGGACGACGCCGTCGCAGCACCGATCACCACGGTGTCGTGCCGCATGCAACGTCCACCTCTTGATGTGGATGATGCCTTCATGACACCGATCGCCACGCCATCTCATCGTAACGGCCTCACGCCGTAAGAGCCGCCAGCGGCCTCACACCGCCACCGAACTCCTCCTTGCGCCGCCGGCCTCCATCTCGCAAGGAGTCCATCGCGCCACCGCTGCCGCCTCGGATCGATAGTGCTCTGATATCAATTGTTCGTGTCGCCTCCTCGCAATGCCTCTTCTTCTTCCTCACGATCTCTCCCTCTCATGTTTTCACACAGCACAAGAACACACCGTGGTGAGGAACTCTACACACACACACACACACACACACACACACACACACACACACACACACACACACCTTACAATAGAGAAACTAGCTTTGCCTCTACCTCCAGGTGAGACACACATACGCCACATCTTTTTTCCAGCCCTCACGGCCTCTTTCTCATTGCTCATTGTAGCATACTAGCCACAATTGATACTTAATGTTGGGGTTCCATATATGATAAACGAAAGACTCATGTTTGTTAGTTTTTGACGGTTTGATTAGTTGGTAGTTTGGTCACCATCTTTTTGGCACGAGCATTTGAGAACCGTTGATGTGTAATTGGATAGGTCGGTTATATGGAAGCATAACAATGTTGTCACATCCCTAGCTTCTGGTGCTGCCTGGGGTGTGCATCATGTTTAAATTCAAATGAAATTTGAATTGAGGAATTTTCAAAGCCTCAGAAACCTTCTAAAAATGATCAACATTAAAATCTCCTCAAAGAAGTCCAAGAAAATGCTCCTCTTAGTCTCTGAAAATATTGCAAAGAGGTAAAACTCAAAACAATATTTTTGGTATCTCAGAGTTAATTATTTTGGGCCTTTGAATTAAATAAATAGCTATTTGCATTGGATATATATTTGATATATAAATAATATATGTCCAAAAATTACTGGAACATTTTATGTGGTTTGGTATATTTTAGTTCTAGCCACATAATTATTTTCAGGATTTTATAAAATGGTTTAGTATTTTTACTAAACCAAAACAAAACAGAACAAAATAGAAAACAGTAAATAAAAGCAGAGAGAGAGACTTACCTCAGCTTACCTGTCAGCCCACCCGGCCCAAACCTACCTGTCGGCCTAGCTGGCAGGCCCAGCCCACCTCCTCCTCCCTGTCGCCTTCCTCCTCGCGCCAGTAGGCAGAGGAGGGACTCGGCGCACGCGCCCGAGCTCGCCACGCCACCACCCTGCTCGTCTGCATCGCCTGGACACCGCGA